CGTGGAGGGTCAGACAGATAGCGTCATAGGGTGCTCTCATAAATTATCGCTAGTTGTCGGATAACATGTTATTTGCCACTGAGCTCACAAATGAGTACATTTTGTATTTAATTACTCGACTCACGCCCAGGGCGCATCCTCACGACTGACCTACCTCGGCCATTTTGGCTGCGGGTCTTCTGTTGCTTCAGTTTTTGTCTCCCTCGCTTTCCCTTTTCTTTTTAATCTTCGTTACTAGCTACCTTATCAAACTTCTGTCTTGTTCTCCTCCCCTATTCTTCTATTTTTTATAATTAGACGGAAGAAATTAATTAATAATTACAACTTACTACTTGTTTTGCTACCATTATACTTTTGGCGAAAATTAATTTGTTTCTTTTAGTTGTGTTTGAACAAAAAAATATAAATGTGATTATTTTTAAATGGTAGCATTCTTATGTGTAAAATAACGAGATATGTTTTCTTAAAATGTTTCAAATTTATAACATTATATTATGTTTCTTTATAGTATTATTTGATACAATAATAATTGTAAAATTTGATATTAATTATTATTTGATACAAGATGTATGTTTATTGTAATTTTTTATTAGTATTACTTGAAAGTATCACGTGAAAATTCAATATTGTATTATTTTTAAAGTTGAAAAATTATGTATCAAAAGATTTGATACATTCTTACGCATTTGCATATGGCTTTACATAGTTTTACACACTTCCATACATTTTTATATATTTTTATACACTTTTTTACATTTCTATACATTTTTATACATTTTTATTCATTTTTAAACACTTTTATACATTCAATAAATTTTATGCATTTGAATAGAAAATTTATATACTACATTTTTAATATTTTAAGTTTTTAATACAAAATGTAAAAAATCCAATTAAATTAAACATGCTCAAAATTTAAATTATACTAAAGAAAATATCAAGGGAAAAAATAAATGCAAACAATAACTGCTTTTGATTCAATTTCTTTTAAAAAATGTATTTTTACATTTTATTGATACCCATGAACAGATTTCACATTTGTTCGATGTTTACTTATTATCTATTTAGTTCAGAGCAATTAACACACACGATTGAGAATTTTTTGGCATGGATCTGACGAGCAAAGACAGGATGAGTGGGTTGAACTGCTACACCACCAGGGTAAGCAGGTAAGCAAAAAGATGAAAACAGAAGGTCGAAAGCGAGATAATGTTGTAGGTGAATAGAGCAAGGATAGACACAGACAAGCGTACATTTCGTAGGCCTAATTATTGGTTCCGACCCAGTTCCGTTCTGAAACAAGAACATAATAGATGGAAGCAATCAATTTTTAAATTGCACCCTAATTCAACGGAAGAATATTCTCGCGTGAAAATCGTACAACTATTTAGATCCGATAAAAAAACTTCTTAGAGAAATGGGTATCTATTAATATTCAACTTCAAGCTTTTGTATTAAGATCAGCGAATTATTTGAAGAATAGGAAAAAATATTTGTTTTATTATTTTATTGTCTTTCGACACCTTTTCGTTTGAATACAAATAATTGCCAACACTATTGGAATTTTAAATTATCATTTAAATGTAGATAAATTGAGAAATATATTTATTGATACATTAATGTGTTTTTATTAGAGATTATTTAATCAGGTTGTAAATTCTAGTTTAATTCATTAAACTGCAAAACATAAATACAGCGGTGTACATCAAAATCCAATATGGCGGGAAATAAGTGAATATCAAAGTCATGTCGCTACTCCTATATTTTCCTATGCTAAAAATAAGTATATCATATGCACATTTTTAGATCTAGATGAGCTGCAAGAAGTATCGCTGAATTAATTTAACAACTATTGTATGAAAAGTCAAAAAATTAATTCTGGAGAAATGACTCAACTTACAGAATAATTTTAAGTTAAAATTTGAAAGGTACCTTTTGACACTTTACTGAAATAGTGTTAAATACATGTTCGAAAACGTTCTCAATTCAGGATGTATGTAGAATGCTAAATCTACAGTAAAGGTACCAAAGATCGTATCTGCTGTTAATGCGACGATTTCCATTACAAAAAATGAACTTACCGATCGCAGGATTGTTCTCGTTAAAGGTATGAAAAGTACTAAAGGTTTTTAAGCAGGGGATTATCGTGTCGCTACTTAGGAAGAATTTTAGGACGACGACGGGGCGATCCCGAAATCCAAGACGACTGCGTCCGAAGGGAATGACAGAGATCGGGTTGCTTCGGACCACCGTCGTGCTCGCCGCAAACTTTATCCTACCTGTTTTCGCTAATTGAGCGAGTAAAAATGTAACTGGACCTTACGCCCCTGAGGTATTTGCACCCTTTTCAAGATACGATCCGTTCTTTTCCCAAGGTAAATTTGCGCTGGACCGCGTTCCTCTTTGCAGCCGGTTCCCCCGATCGCCCGATCATCCCCTCAACACGGCTTAATGGCGTCCAAATCGTTATTATTTATTCACTTTTCATGAAGCAATTTCACTTTACATGCAATTTCAATTTTTTTGATGATTTTTAGCTGATTATCAGTGAGTAATCAATGTTGCACGGAGGGTTGAGAAAGTGAATTACGTAGCGAAAATTGAATGAAGTTTGTAGTTTCGAAGTTTGTAGTTACTATATTAAACTTTTAATTCTTTTACAAATTTTCAAATTTATAAACTTTTAGATTCATAAATATATTTGCAAAACCCTAAATTTATAGATTTATAAATTTGTATGAATTGGTACAAATATTTTAAATTTAATATTTGCAAGTCTTTTGACTTTGCAAATTTTAAAATCCCTTTTTATGGTACTGATTTTTTAAATCTATGAATTGTTAGATTATTAGACTACTGGTTTTATAAATTTACAAATTACTGAATTTTTGAATTTTTAATTTCTCAGTTTTTGAATTTTTGAATTTCTCAATTTCTCAAGTATTCAATTTCTCAATTTCTTAATTTCCCAGTTTTTCAATTATTCAATTTTTCAATGTCTCAATTTTCCTATTTTTCAATTATTCAATTTCTCAATTCTTGAATTGCTCAATTTCACTATTCCTCAATATTACATATTTCCAAATTTGCAAAATTTTGAATTCCCAACCCTCCACATTTCTAATTCTTCAAATCTCTAAATTACTCAACTAATATGTTTCCAAATCTTCTAGTTTCCAAATTTTCAAATTGAAATACCTGTGAATTTCTAAAATTTGAAACTCATAAATATCCAAATTTTTAAATTCCCAAATTCCTAGATTTTTAAACATCAAAATTCCCGAATATCTCTATCTTCAAATTCTGAACCATCCTCAAATTACAAAATCTTTAAAAATATGTAAACATCAATATCTAAGAGACATCTTCCATCAAAGTTATTATATGTATACATTATATCTAAGGTACATTTTCCGTAGGAAAACCAGAATTATTAATCAGAGCTATTAACATTTTAACTACCAAAAGACCAAATGACCTTTATGAATCTTACTTTAAGTTACAGTTTGTTAAGACAAATTTCTTGAAATCTATATATCTTTGCATCAGGATGAAAAATTATTTTGTACATTAATTTATGCTTCACTATTTCTTTATTTATATCACGACTTCATTTTAAATTTTTAAATAAATGTGTATTATACACCGACGAATTTAATGTTAACGTATAGCTGTGTCATTGGTTAACTCATTATTGAATGCAATATTAAGAATAACAAAGAAGGTTAAAGTATAAGACAGATTTTGCATTTAGCGACCGTTGATGATACGACTTATAATTAGAAGTGAACTCAAAATTCGACTGAGATAAAAATATGAGTCACATTCGAACTGTAGTTTGCGTCATGAATGTGACACGAATGATTATTTAATCAATTATTATAGCAGGTATTTTTGAAATATATTAGCGTTAACACTAATATATCTATCATTTATATACATAGAGCAAATAAACCTAATATGGAACAAGGACATAACATTAAACACCGCAATATGTCGGTAAATATGTAAATGAAAGACGAAATCTATCAATAACTATGTAACATACTTTGTTATAGACAAAAAACAATGGTATTAAGTTCAATTAATCACATTACTTTAAACTATGTACACGTGGAAGTGTATCATTAATGTGAAGCATTGTTGTATTCGTAATGCTTATAATTTTCTAAATAACAAGTTACATTTGTTACGAAAGGTATATTGTAAAGTATTATTCTTATGCAATTTATTATTAAGCTTACTTATGTTGAGTGTCCAAAAGCAATTTCTACTTAAAAATTATACTGTATACATATATTTAAAAAAGATGATTATAAGAAACTATAGTAGCAAACAAATTAAAGTAACAAGAAATAACGAAGTTCCCTAAAAAACCACTCATTGAACGTTGATCGTTTCACCCTAGAATGCTAAACCTCGAACCCACCATTATTACATAATCAATAAACTGTCGCCGCAGTTAGCAACTCCCATCAAGTCCTACTATCAACTCCTACCAATTCCCATCGGTTATTCCTTCGAACGTTAGTCTTCACCCTCTTAGACACCCATTTTTAAATATTATCTCGAACGCCGAATTACCGAAGAGGTATATCCAACAACAGGTAGTTCGCGCGTTACGGTTGGGGAAACTTCTACCCACGTTAAATGTGGAACATATAGGTGCGCATAATGTGCATCGAACACAACTCGTACATGTCCATACACACATGTACATGCGCAAGTCGAAAGGGCCTACGTTATGGTTGCACGGTTTTGTACATGATCGTGTAGGTTGGAGGCGCCGATGCCACCTGTTGCACTAGCCGTTCGCATACTCAGAGCTGGTTGGCCCTACTTCATGGTAAAAGTGGTGGGGTTATTCGAGGAGTTTTCATTGGTCGTGCGGCACGTGCTGCACGAGGGTGCCTCGCTCCGAAAACGCATAAATTCCCTGGCAGTGTGCCTGCCGAGTTCAGAATCACCCCGACCGCCGAGTCGGTATGCGTGTACAGAATTTGAAGAGAACCATTTCTATACCGCGAACCAGCAACCCACTGTTTTACGCGAGAAGACTACGTTGAAGCTTGATTAATCCGAAGTTTATCGTTGAACAACCGTGATTCCGTGACAACACAGTGGAAAAGTGAAGGTATCAAGGAGCTCACAGTCCTAGCCAAGTTCACGAGTGAACGTATTTTCAATTTTGGTGCGATGGAATTGCAGGAGATGTTTCGCTATGGATACATGTTCCCGCCTAGAGAAGACGATGTCGTATCCTGCACGTATCTGGACTTACCGAGTTATTCCTATTCGAAGAACAAAACCGATCTCCCTCCGGTAAGCACAATCACGGTACCCCAGTGCATCGTCTACGATGGTAATCACAGTGACGGCTGGCACACGCCAAGTCCAACCGCAAGTCTGCGATCGGTTAGTCCTGTTACGACCCTATCCATATCATCCGAACCCGATACGATAAGCACCTCAGTTACTTATCGCCTGCTAGGCTCTGCGGAGGACTTGAACAAAAGGTACACCGCGAAGAGGAATCAGATGAGTACCGAAACGAAGCACGGTATGAACATGGTGGATCTGACAGAGGAAGTAAACAGCATGGACGCGGATACCGATGGGACCGGCGACGTCGAAACGGAAACGGAACACGAGAAGGCGCAGTCGTGTCGAGGCAGTGTCATCAGCAATTCCAGTAGTTTCTCGGACAGAATCGTCGACGCTGACAGCGAGGACGACGCTGAAATGAGCGACAGTCCAGATCATGTTGGTTCTGGAATGCATGGGACCGGCAATGCGGTCAGAAGAAGAGGTAAATACGTTAACTCGACGATCGTTAGGAAACGCAGACTGGCGGCGAACGCCAGGGAACGAAGAAGAATGCAGAATTTGAACAAAGCGTTCGATAGATTGAGAGCTTATCTTCCCTCTTTGGGCAACGATAGACAACTGTCCAAGTACGAAACTCTTCAAATGGCACAGTCTTATATCACCGCGTTGTACGATTTGTTACAATGAGAATTATTTTCGTACGAAAAATATATTTTTGTCACTATAGAAAGATTTGCAGAGACGGAAGTGAGATTAATGAAAGATGTAAAGACGTTAGTGAAATTAATGAAAAAGGTATTTTTGTTTGTGCAGAGAGAATTTTTCGTTGAACGTATCGATAATCTGCGATTAATATTGTTTATGGAATGTTGTGTTTGCGACCGAACGTATTACTTAGTTGCAGATATTAGTTATACAGAAATATGCTTTCATTCCAAACAAGTTGCTTTTACCGTTAGCTTGTCTTTTCCTATCTTCTTTATTTAAACATAATTACCTTGTATTATTATCGAAGTAATATTTATCGTACGATGTGATACAGAAACAATCTTGAACTAATGTATTTACGAGATGCTTGTAAATAATAGGAACTTTGTAAATTTTGTAAAATAGTAGTATTGTAACTAGTAAGTTTTTAATGTAACGTTGTATTATAAGATGAATGAAGTCAGGTACCTATAATTTATTAATGCGCTCTTCTTTGAGACTGAAACATGTGTTGAGAAATATAATTATTTTATAAATTCTTCAAGTTGTATCCTTCTCCTGCCTATTGAAAACATGCGTTCTTTTCTTTCAACTGAAGAAGAATTCTATTCTTCTATTGACTTCTATTTGACCAAGCTTGAACGTTCTGTTACGAAATGAAATTGCCTAATTGTTTAATCAGGTTGATGTCGCGATGTTCTGTCAAATGCGAAGTTAGATCATAAGGGATGAAGTATATTCGGGGCGAAAGAAAAACAGCATCGTCATCGGTGGTCTGGTCGTCATACGAAACCCACGCGACGCGTCGGTGCCCGGTTTCATTGCAATTTGAGAACCTGCAGCCTCCTTTCTTCGACGATGACTCTTCCTTCTTTCTCTTTCTTTCGACCCGGTTCTCCTTCGATTCTTCGCTATTGCCACCGAATCATACTTTCTTTCGTTACAAATAAAAATGTAATTAGTAACTGGTTACAACTTTTACGAGAAGCTTTGTGTTTCATCACAAAGTCTTATCACAACATTTCATCACACGATTGTTTGTGAAGAATAGATATGAAAGGATACAGCTTTTATATATCCAAAATAGTTTTTGTCAGAATTAACAGCAAATTTACAATGGCCATTTACTCTTAAATTGAGGGTAAATAAAACAAAAGTTATTAGAAGGAAAATGAATAAATAAGATATATGTAAGAAGGGATGAATTTTGAAATAAAAAATCAAATATTTTCCAAAGTAAGTATGGAATTCTACATAAAATTCAAGTATTACACACACAAATATTAAATATTAAAAAACATCGACTCATTGTGTTTTTATTAATTATGCAAATTGAAAAAATTAACCAAACGCTTCAGTTCATCACAGTATTAGATTAAAAAATAAATATTGACTTGAAAAGTGATATTCAATATATATTTTTTATGAATTCTTACTAAAATCAAACGTGTCAATAATTAGTATACATAATTATACTAATATTTAAAAAATTAGAAATTAATATAATTTATCTTATTGCTAGAAATGATTTCAGTTCAGAACAAAAACAAAATGACGAGGTTTAAAATTAAAGTATGGAAATTTTTGTTTTTTTCTTTCTTGGAAATTTTATGATAAAGAAAATAACGTGTAAGAGGCAATCGAAGGATAAAAGGATTTAACTATAAATTAATGCCAGAATTTAATAATTTTCAAAATACATGAGTAATTAACGAAATCACAATAACTAATGAATCATTATTTATAACAAAAGTCCTCGATTGATGTAATAACTCAGATTGATGTACAAAATTAATATACAATTATGCTCATACATTATATTCATTATACAGTATCTAAAACAAAAGATGCACAATCCTGTTCATACAAAAATTTTTACACATAGTATCAAGTACCTTGAATAACAAGTTAAAACTTATAACAAGTTCATTCTATTATTTTTCTCGACTAGCTCTGAAAAATATATTCCAAAAAAGGAAATATGTATGAATATTCCTTTTTAATATATCATGTTAGAAAATTCTCAGTTTTCGAAATATGCATAAAGTCGAGGATTTGAATCCTAGTTATTAGCACAAAAATACTTCATTTTAAATATAAATAAATGAAGAAATAAAAATCTTCCTGTTTAGTTCATTTAAGACACGTAAAAGTAATTAAAGGATGATAATTACGAGACGCCATATTTTTATGCAGATGGCTAGTGAGGAGTGTGAACCCTAACACGATGAATTATGTCCGTATAATTACTTCATAAAACTTTTATAAAATATGTGCATATGTAATATATAAGGAAGTACAAAAATCAATTTAACCTAGTCCTAAAAGAAGTAACAAAAATAATTAACTTATGTCTGTAGAATATAAGATGTGCAAATGAATTTTTGGAATATCAAAGTATCAGAAAAAATGTTAAACCAAAATTACTAGTTTTGCATTGTAAAAGCATTGTAAATATTGTTTGCTAATATTTGCTTCTAATATTTACTAGATTAAATTATTAGCACCATAAACTAAAAAAATGGCGCTAATTTATATTTTCAAAGTTTTTCTGTTACTAAAATTTTTACTTTTTTAAAATGCTTATTCTTGATCACACAACAAGTTAAAAAATAATATAGCAAAAGCTTATAGCCAACAAATATAACATCTTTCTATGAAATATAAGAACGTAAATATAAAAATGCAGTACCAAATAAACCTTGTAGCTTTTTTTAGCGCTGCACAAGCTATGATTAGTATGATCAAGATGAGAAAAGAAGAAAATTTTGCTTCTATTCTCTCGCGATTAGCGCTGCATGGTTACAGTAAATATTTAACACGGCATCGCGTGTTAAACCCGGTTGTGCAATATTTACCGAAGATGAGCGAACAAACAACCCTTATTCTTTACACAAAAGGTAAAGGATACGCAAGAATACCCTGACTCGGAAGAACTTTGAGAAGCTTCTAAACAATGATGACCTTTTTTCGATCCTTATTGAGACAATACTACACTTAGGAGAGTCTAAAAGCAATAACGAATATAATAATTGCTATAAAATAAATATTAATCGATTTATCATCATTCCCTTTATCTCATTTTTGTCTAATAGATTAAAAAATTCCTGATCATCAACGAACTGAAATTTCGAAGCTAAACAATTTAATTAGACGGCAACAAAAATTCCACTGACTGTCGCGTGGCAGTCTCTATCGCGTCTCTCCGCGTTCCCAGAGATAATACCCTTAAAGAAGGTAGGACACGAGAATCTTTGCGAATTCGATAAAAATCTCGCGACATCTTCGTTTTCGTTCCGAGGACCATGGATCGGTTGGCCGGTAATAAAAGAAAGAACAGAACAAAAGGATAAAACTGTGGAAGGAAAGAAAGGAAAGAATCTCATAGACGAGAGAACGTAAATATTGTTTGAAGCAATTAATTCTCCGGCGGACTACCACCTTCGCGTTGTCAGGAGGGTTCGCCTTGACAAAGAAGAGGAAGCTCGGACCCGCCGGCAGTGACCAGTGGCCACTGTCATCAAAATACTCGAAGGGGTTGGGTACAGTGAAATCAGGAAATGGAAGGGGTAAAAAAGTGGAGGATAAAAGACAAATGCCGCCGCATTGTCGTTGTCTGATCGTGGAGATTGCTTTATTTGAGCACATTTAGCGCAGAGATCTCGAAAGCCTGGCGAATATTTTGTAGCCGCTACCACATACGACCCTTCGATCCACCATCAGAAACGATACACAGAGGCGTAACGCATTAAGCATCGGAATAATGTAATCTGCCGACTGGGATCAGGCGATAAATATAATCTGCCGGTTGAAATTTGTCGGTGGAGGAGCATCTTGGTTACTTACGAACCTGTGCCTTCTTCTTCGTATCGGGATCGATTTTAACTTTTAACCGATCTTATTGTGTGACTCTGATAGATACTTATCCTATGTTATTATCGCTGTTATTGTCACTATCATGTTGTTGTTGCCGTTATTTTTATTTTCATTGTCGTTATTATCATGTTGTTGTTGCCGTTATTACTATTGTCATTGTCGTCATTATAATTGCTATTGCTACTGTTATTATTGTTACTACTGCTATTATCTATATTATCGTTATTATGGTTGTTACTATTGTTGCTATTGTCGTCATTATCGTTGTCATCGTAATTACTATCCTCATCATCATGATATTGTAGTCTTTATTATCATTGTTATCGTTACTACCGCGATTATTATTTTTGCTATTATCCATATTACTATTGTTATCGTTAATCTCATTGTTATCGTAGTTGTTAACGTTACGGTTATTTTGTTGTTGTAATTATCATTGTTATAGACGTCAGGATTGTTAATATTAATGTTATCGTTGCTACCATCATTATTATGCTTGTTATTGTCCACATTGCTGTTGCTATTGTTGTCAGTTTCATGTTGCTGTTACAGTTATGTAATTGTCTTCGTCGCTACCGCCATTATCATTCTTACTATTGTCCATATTATACTATGATTGCTATTACTGTTATAATCATTATAATTGCCATTACTATCGTTGTTACTGATATTATTTATAAATTTTCCATGCACCTAGAATCAAACATATCATTAACTAGACTGAGAATTGTACGAATTCTTTATAGAGTGTCAATGCAATTTTCACTATTTAATTGTTTCAGCTATAACATTCAGTAATAAGGTGAGTGTGATCAATATTTTTATCGGTGCATAATGCACACTTAATTTAAAATATATATTGAAATTGAAAAATAAATATATAAATAATAAGACACAAATTTACGTACACATTGATTGTTTATTTTAATGAAAACTAACACAGACGTCAATGAAACAACACGAAAAAATTTTGTAACTTAAAATAAGTAACTTGTAAAGAAATTCGACCTTTGGTAACTTCAGTGTTAGTATTTACGAATTATTTATATAATAATAGTAATATTTATCAACATACTCTAATTTTGACAAAATAAAAACAGAAATACGACTGTAAAAATTACAAGCGCGCAGAAAGAAGCGCATGGCGGCTACTTATGCAATTCACTATGCCGAAATTACTCCGAGCTTAAACCGGTGGATATAAATCAATCGTGTTCTGTCAGCGATATTCGTCTCAACTCATTCACGTGACAAACTCACGCAATTCAGTCCATACGTTCAACTTTAAAGCTGCGGTTGCATGATTTATTCAGCAGACCGGCCTTCTCAACTCGGTTGAATCAAAATATTCATCGACCTAAAAAAAGGAGGAAAGGTGCGCATGTGAATTTAGAATGTAAATAAAAAATAAGAGAAAACAAACGAGGAAACTACCAAAAAGGGAAAATTAATCGAAACCGACAGGAAGGGAGTACATAAAATGATATTGTTTAATACTATTTTATTGCAAAGTATTTAGATACTCCTACGTATTGTTCCATCACAACCTGTAAATTGGTTTAAGAATTTTATTTATTTAAGAAACTTTTAGTAAGTAAGGTTTATTTAAATGGAGAAGTTGTTTTTAATAATAATTATGGAAAATGTTTCATATGCACATAGTTAATAAATAAAATTAACTGACTCAATAAATAAAATGAACAAAAGTTAAATAGATGTTATCTAGGTTTAATACTGTAAAAAGTTACTGTCAACAACAATGTTACCTAATACTTTTGTTATCATTTCTATTATTTTGTATAAATATCCAAGTGTGCATACTGATACTCCCATTTTATCAATCATAATATCTATTGTAATTTATGAAGGTTTTTATTACTTTTAGATTTTATTTTGTTCAATTATTAAAAATTTAGAATATGTCCTATGTCCTTTCCCTTAAAATTGCATACAGATTGACATTCATTCATGATACCAACATAAAAATAAAACAAATTTTGCATTTGCCAACCTATTACATATTTTACTAATTTCGCCTTGTTATACTATAATGTAACCTTATTGTTCTAATATAACCTTACTGTATCATAGCTTTATAGTTATAATATAACTTTACAGTTATACAAGTGTACATTTATAAAGTGTCAAAATAAAAGTACTTTTACATAATAGAACAAAAAAATGTTACAGCTAATATTAGAAGAACTTTATCGTTATAATATAACCTCATTGTTACGTGTAACAATGTGTATAAATATGTGTGTTTACATTTATGAAGTGTATAAAGTGTGAAGTTACATAAATGTTACAGTTAATATATCAAGAATGTATGCATCGTTTAAACTTTTAATAGTTTCACTGGTGCGTGCCATTTAATCCATAGGTTCACCGGAAATCCGCTAAACACGGTGATTCCAAAAGAAGGACCTCACGGAAACCTTTCTGGCGTGTTCTTCAAAGGTGTCGATACAGTATCTTTTTAATGTTTCAAGCCTTGGTGCGTGCTCTCGCGAATGCTTTCGGATTATAAACGCAGGTAGATGGTGTGGTCGATCCTGGTGAATGCAACGAAAAACACGACCGCCCATCGTGAGGGACTCGATGATCCTGCGAGCTCACCATCCAAGTCGTAAATCGGTAAAAGATCTCCTACCTGTGATCAGAACGGTGGAATAAGAGCAAAGCTATCGACTGGGTTACGTTTATGTTCCAGATTTAGAAATTACCTTTCGGATAGTGTATTTACTCTTCTTAGGTTATGTTAATAAAGGAGTTGCTGCACCTAGAGAAAATTTTTTCATAGATTTCACTCAAGCTCACGGTGTTTTTAAAATATTAATTTAAAGTTAATTATACTGTTACCTTCGTAACTTCATAAACTTTATAATATATGTATTATTCTTATGATTTGTAGATGTATGAGGAGTTATAAAAGTAAAATGAAAGAATGACATGAAGAAACTTGGATTACGTAGATTCAAGATAGGAGCGTTAATAAGAAATGCGAAAAATAAAAATTGTTCTTCTATCTAATATTCTTGGATCTAAACCAACCCTAACTCGTTATAAATCAAAACTCTTCCCAAGGTAGTTCTATTCTTCGATGGCACGGCGGCACAATGGCGACCGTACACAATCGTGTACGAAACGCGTTCGTCCAACCGATTTGTTTGTTCGGCCGTTTCGTGATCGAATGAAATCCGCTTAATACGATCGAAAGGTTTTCGCGTTTGAAAGAGGTATCACGGGTTTGAAAACACGTGGAAGGGTCGTACGAAGTTCGAAGTGGATACGGGGGTTCACAGAAAACCGGATGGGAAAGTTAAAAAGGGGGAAAAGGAAAAGAAAGGGGCAGCGTTCGACACACGCGACACGAGCTTACTCTTAGTTTCTGCTGGCCACTCGAACCACTGCCTCAGGGGCATTAATTTCATTTAATCAAACAGCGGCGATACTTGGCCCGACCCTTCCTTTTGTTTACTCTTACTCTTTAGCTGCACGATACGCCTATATTTAAGTTTTCAAGGTGGTGAACGTTCTTATAGAAATGAGTACTTTACCTTTTCCTTTTTAACTACGCTGCAAACGTAATTAGACTAAACTATACTAATGATTTGCTGGTTGTTAAATTAAATATTTACCTATTCAATCAGAATACGTCTAAGCTTTATAAATATGGACACACGTGGCAGAAAATTAGTGCACAATTTTTAGGGTCTCTATTAAAATATAAGGTTGGTAATATATTTTTGAGTTCAGCATTATTTCATGTCTTTTGAAATAATTTTGAAATTATTCATTGTCTTTTGACACAAATTTCGAATGAAATTGATAGAAATTTTTTCTTTTGCGAATTTAAAAAAAAAATTTATATTAATTAAATTTGATTCCACCTGTTACTTTTGAATAATTACAAAATTTTAAAGTCTTCATTATTTCAATTTCATAAATAAATTTTTATTCCAGATGAAATTTATTTGAATATATAAGTTATTTCTCATTCAAAAATATTGTTGTTTGATTAAAAATTTTGATTAAAATATTATTTGAAGTAATGTGCAATTTTAATATACATAACACAAGACATTAGGCTTGTTTGTTTCTTACTTTGAATAACCTAAAAATCGTTAGTGTAAAATATACTCTGCTAAATTTTTAAATAAATTATTATGAATAGAGTATATTACTTGTATGCATTTTAAAATTTTTATTAAAATATAATTAAAAAAGTTATTCAATACTGTGTAATTTTTGAATGGTCTATGTTAAAAAATGACTATACCTAACCTAACATAACGTTGAATTGGTTCTTTTTCTGTTTTTTAAAGAATGTTCTTAATATACCTTAAACTTTGAAAAATATAATCAAAAAATTTGTATTTTAAAAGGAACTTTTTTAACAGATTTTTGAAATGTTAAATTAGGTCTATTACCAACATTATATCGTTAACAGGATAGGTTAAAACTTATATAATATCTCATTTTGTTGCAATTTATTAATTTGATACTGCGCAGCAACAAGGCACTTTGTAAGAACGTTGTTTTAATTAAAAAGAAGTAAACTAATTTAATGTTGTGCATTAGATTATAATATCATTCACAAATTTTTACGAAGGATTACAAAAATATGTACAATCCACTTTTTTATCTCAAATAGTTATGAAAATATAATACGGCCTAGCTATATGGGATATCCTGTATCGGATTGATTCCAAGGGTGCACCACCATATAGCAGCACAGTGCAACCAGTCGCTTAAACACATTCAGTTTCGTTAAATAGTTTTCTAATTTGCCATTCGTTGTATAATTTATTAATTTATCAACGCGCTTTCTATATTGTACTTTTTCCTTATTGTTTCCAGAAAAACTTCGGAATACCGTCACGTTCCGATTCTGGTCAAATTTTGCAAATAAGCTCCTTTCTTTCAAAAGGAAACGTCTGTGAAAACAGTTTCTGACTCGAATGAACAATTTTTATCGTTCGAATGTTGTTCTCTATATTACCGACGAGACACGGTATAGTGTGCATGTTCGGACCCTGGGAATATATTTCAAACAGTATAAAAGCAATATTAATAAATGTATAATAAATATATAGCATATTAATTAATAAAATCAATTTTAATTGAATTTTTACAAAAATGGAATAAGTGGCGCCATCTCTCCGGTGAATAGGGCGAACTACATACTTTTGAAACTGTAGTTTCATTAATTATAACCTTCTACGGCTATACGATAGCGTGTGAGATGGAAACCTTAATTAGCCTAACAATTATTTAAAGTTGATAATGGTTTCATAAAGTTAAAACATTCCGAAAATAATTTATCTCCCACTCTGGTGTAATTTTATGCGTATTATATTAAATTAAACCAATAAAATTAGTGTTATTTGAATTTTTCGAAAATGTGGTGATCATCAGAGTTGTCGATCAAGGAAAGTTCTGTTATCGAAGTCGTTGATCATGAAGCATTGTATTTGTACTTGTGAACAAATGATTAATGTTTAAAGCTATCGTCGTTTGATCATATTTAATTTTATTTTAAAAGCAAAATCATTCGCTATTCATTCTGTTATCAAACCTGAATTCAAGAACACGTATCAAAATCAATTTAGAATCAATTTCAATAAAATTAGTTATTTTGTAAAATTATTATTTATCAATTATTAAAATATAGGGAGACAAACTCTATCGAAACGATATGCGTGGCGTCATCTAGCGGTAGAAGGTTAGAACTAATGAAACTACAGTTTCAAAAGTGTGTAGTTCATCCTGTTCGCCGGAGAGATGGCGCCACGCGTTTTATTAAAAAAAAAATTAAAATAATACTGATTTTATTAGCTTAATTGACAATAATATGCTTAAAATTACATCAGCAATATTAATTATCCGCGGAATGCTTTGATTTTATAATAATTAGTTATGCTATTATTTCTGTCTTGATGGCGAAACTTTAGAAAACCGCCATTGCCATTTAGCAACCAATAACAAAATCAGAAAAATAGAAAATGCATTTGTCTTCAAAATATTTTGAATTTTACTTTTCTGTAACAATTAGAATATTCTACAATCTCAATTGAACATAAAGAATGTGATTATAATGTGCTAAAACTATTAGGAAAGAAAGTGAAGAAAAAAAGGACTATTCTAAAAGCGTATAGATGATAGTAGGATATGGGAGTTACAGAGTGTAAAATTATTTCAGTAAACACAATTTACTGAGATCAATTACAATATAAATAACATTTAGTTACATTTCCATACGAATCAATTATAACATAAGACAATGAAATTGCTTCAAATTGTTTATTTCTTGCGATTACTACTCATAATTATAATTAGTGTGTATACAATACCTAAACACTTAAATTTTATCCGATTTGTCACGTGTACGCATTACCTACAAATTTTTAGCATTGTATTCAATATGAATCTTATTCGTTTCAATTTGAAAATTGTAATCATCCCTCCTTCTTAAATTGGTTGATATTGTCTGACGAAATTCCTCTCCGATCATTACCTCGTCGAAATTTCTCAAAATCATTTCGAACGTCGATCAACAAGCTTTGCCTGCACAGTTTCGAAATTGTACTCATATTCCCCACCTCGATATCTTTGCTGCGTATCAATTTCGTAAACTTAAGCTTATTAACGATTTTCGCGAGTGGTCCTAAAGGCTCTTGCTGTTTCACGATCGATCTCGGAAGAGACTCGCATCCCCGATTGGTCTCCGTCAGTCGTACAAAAGTGTCAGGATCCACGTTTATCATTCCAACACTGGCAGATTTTACGCGATCAGGTCGAGAAACCGAATTATCCAACTCATATTTATTTCCGAAAAACTCCATCTTCTTCTCGTTCATCTTCTCTCGTGTCTCGCACTTACTTGTTTCTTCCCGACTCGTAACCGGCAATTTTTCATTTTCCTCAGGTTGCTTTTCCAAAATTTCCTCGCAACGATAAGCAGACGTTCTCGGAAACTCGTAACTCTTGAACGATCGGGGTTCCAGCACGGAATGACACAAAGGACCACCGCGACGGGACAAGAAGTCTTCTTTCGCGCGACGTATCCTCAAAGAATGTGACTCGACAGACGATTCCTCGGAGATCGTTCGACCGTCTCTTCTCGCCACCACGTTAGACAGGATATTCAATTTATGAATGAGATCAGAGGAATTCGGATCGAATTTCGAATCATCGCATTTCTTCTCGTCGTTCTTCAAAATGCACGAACTAATAGATCGAACAGTCTGATCCTGTTGATCCGGCGTTGCTTGCACCGAAACGCTTACTCGTTGACTCTTCTGTTCGAAAAACTGTCTCGACTCGCTTTCAGTCAATTCGATCGACGAATTTCTCGTTTGGTTTTTTTCGGTTATCGATTTCCTCGTGCTCTCCACTGACTTGCATCGCTCAGAATTCTCTTTCCTGGCTATTGTTTTCTCCACTTTATCATTTTCTTTGATTTTCGTTTCCCTCAGCTCGCGATCTTTCGAGGATGGTCGCAGAGGCCACGGTAACGAAAGGGACATTCGTAACAGCCCGTCGTGTCGACTTATCTTAGGAGACGCCGATCTGGATTTACTCTTGCTTTTTATCGAGAGCGGCTGATCCTCCTCGATACTTTCTTTTCTGACAGAGTCTTCGACGCGTCGGAACGGGGAAAATATTATGCGTTTCGTTTTGATGAAGACGTTTCGGCTTGGAGAGACTCGTTTCTTAGCAGCTCCTTCTTGGCTGGAAAGTTCGCGATCGGTGTTTGATCTATTATGATCTTCGGAAGAACCTTGTACGGGTTTCGCGTCTTTAGATTTTTCTATGCAACCAGTGCTGGCTGTAGGTACGACTATTTTGTTCAAAGTTTCTTCGTTAATGATCATTCTTTTGAAACAACGCTCTTCGCGACAGGGTGCAACCGTGCACGGTGTAGTTTTGATCGTCGGTTCACGGTGATATTCGCTGCTACACGAATTTGTACGCAACATTACGGAACTTAGCACGTTTTCGAAATTGTGATATTGTTGTTCTCTGGTTTCCGACTGTACGGTCGTTGCAACTGGTTTTGTACAACTACCTTGTTCTTCGTGATCCTCGTACGATTTGAGTGGTTTGTAGTTTAGGAGATTTGATTTCATTTTGCAGAGATTATGTCCTGTTTGATTGTGCACCTCGTCTCTGATCACCCCGTAGTTTTCTTCGTGCTTGTTGAAACGTTCGTCGTCTCGGTTTACTCGGCGGAGACCCATTTCGGACAAAGGGTACTTGGTTTCGTCTAAAACTAGTTAATTCTTATGTAGCAACATTCTTTAATATTTAGCAAATTAAACGAATGCTTCAGAAATAGATGACAAGTTTTAGTGACATATTTTATTTGTGATCAAAGAAATATGTCATAAATGTGGATGTAAACATGTTTTAGAAATGAAAATATTTATCACTCAAGGTGTTAATACTGATTTCTTTAAAAATGCTCTTTCTCTTGATATACTTAAGTTTATTTTATTTTATATTTTGCACATGATTTTGTGCTTCCTTAGAATTTTTTAGTGTTTCACCGCAAGTTTCATACAATCTGACCTTTATATTTATTGTTTATAAAGAATATCACTATTATGATTCTTCTTCGTTTTTATACTTTTTTAAGAATGTTATTATTATTTTTCAAGGTTATATTAGACAGAGATATTGACTCACAATCAATATTAAATAACATTTATTGTAAGACATTGAATTTGAACGTATAGAGAATACTTTATAACATGCTAAGTTAGGGACAAATGCAACGAAAAAATGTTTACATGTGTTCTATTTAATCTTGCCTTTTTCATCCTTTATTTTACTTTAGCAATTCATTGCAATTTGATAATCGTTTTCAAAAAAAGTAAAACGGTGAAACGATAAAATAGTAAAATGGTAAAGTGGTAAAATAGTAGAATAGTGGAGAAGTGGAATAGTGGAATAGTGGAATAGTGGAACAATAGAACAGTAGAATAATAGAATAGTGGAATAGTAGAATAGTAGAACAGTAGAATAATAGAATAGTGGAATAGTAGAATAGCGGAATGGTAGAATAGAAAAAAGGGGAAATAGTAGAATGGTAGAATGGTAGAGAGTGATAGAAAGATAAAATAATAGAATAGTACAATAGTAGAATGGTGAAATTGTGAAATAGTGAAATGATAGAATGGTAGAATGGTGAAAGTGTAAAATAGTGCTATGGAAGAATGGTAAAATTGTGAAATGGTGCTATGGAAGAATGGTAAAATTGTGAAATGGTGCTATGGAAGAATGGTAAAATTGTGAAATAATGCTATAGAAGAATGGTAAAATTGTGAAATGATGCTATAGAAGAATGGTAAAATTGTGAAATGGTGCTATGGAAGAATGGTAAAATTGTGAAATGATGCTATAGAAGAATGGTAAAATTGTGAAATGATGCTATAGAAAATGGTAAAATTGTGAAATGATGCTATAGAAGAATGGTAAAATTGTGAAATGGTGCTATGGAAGAATGGTGAAATTATGAACTGGTGTTATGGAAGAATGGTTAAATTGTGAAATGATGCTATGGAAGTATGGTGAAATTGTGAAATGCTGATATAATAATACAATAAAATGGTCAACTATTAAAACGATAAAGTAGCAGAATAATAATGCACTGACCATTAAAATAATACTCTAAAATAGTAATTGAAAATTATGAGTAGCCCTAATTTTCTAGCCAGAGGCTGTTTGCAAATAATGCAAATTGTCAAATTAACAAGTATAATTAAAATTTCCTTCACCAATTTTTGAAACATTCGCTACATTAAAACAACTAAGTAACTACTAAGTATTTAATGAAAATTACCCAGTTTACACTTGGTTACCGATTCCGGTAAAGTATCTGCATATTCTTTGCTGTAATTTGGCTGCACATCTGTCGAGGAACAGCAACGGAGGTTGACGGGACTTATCCCTATTTCCTCATATTCGTTGTCGCATTTCATCTTAGCCTCAATCGCGTCCTTTCCATTATCGGTGCTTCTATCATTTTCAGCTCCACGGCTGCCATCTTGCTCGTGCTTCTTGTTGCTCGATAAGTCCTGGTTGTACCGACAGGTCGCTAATTGTGATTGCGCTATGGTAAAACTTACTTTTGAAGAAAATGCTTTTTCCGTTGTTGTTTTCTTCTTTTCCGTGTTTCGGTGAAAATCGAGTCGATTACGCTCGAAGGTCGAAAGCAAAAGAAATAACGTGTAAAGTGGTAATTCTTTTTATAATCTAGTTAATGATAACGTTTGCTAAGTGGAATTTCTACATTATTCGTTTCGATCGTGAGAAAAGAATAACGAAATAAAACGTCTAAGAGTATTAAATAATAAACTGCAATAATGCGATACGAAATTTTACAAAATCTACCATCATCTCTTTTATGCTCGCAGCGAAATGATTTCCAAGATTCCTTTCGTGGCTGATTTCGTCTGTCCCTGAAATAAATTTTCTATTTAAAATTTATCCAAAATATAAATTGTACAATGTGTCTAAATTGTACAATTTTTAATTTACCTTCAGGCTCATACTTTGTCACAGTGATTCCACTATCTCCGTCGGATGGTACAGAAATTTCTTCCCTGAAAACATAAATCTGCGACATTATAGTTATTTCTCCAAAACTTACTCTTTTCACGTACCTCTCGCTCTGATCCCATTCAACCATCTCACTCGATTGTCCCGCAATTTTATACTTCTGATCTAATTCTATAGAATAAATTGAGCTATCAGACTTAATCGAATCTTTGTCCAAATTTCGATCGAACGACTCCATATTGAGCAGACAATGCTTGTTTTCGTTCAGTGACTCCGTGATCGAAGATCGCTCCGAATCCACATTATCATCGTTAGACACATTCCTCTTGTTGTTCCATATTTTCGTCTTCTCGGAGTGTTCGGTGCTCAAACTATCCTCGCTCGAGAAACTTTTCCTTCTCCACTTTTTCGACTCCCAGTGCATTCGCTCTTCGGTTTCCTCGATTTCGATCAGGAACACCGGAGACGGTTCGTGACTGGAAGTAACTGTTCCGAGTGGTACAGCGATACTTGTTGTTTCGCTTGCTGCAACCGAGTACACGGGTGTCTGATGTGGTTGAACTCTTTCTAAAGGACTTGCAGTTTCCTCGATAACGTCTTCGATGTCGACGATCATCGCTTCCGGTTCGGAATCGTCCATAACGATGTCGGCTATATCTTCCGTTCTTTGTGAATCGACTGTAAATGAAATTATGAAAAATAGATTATTGTTGATATTTTGAAATATGATACTTATATCGATTTTCATTAATCTAAAACTTCCTTTGATTTTTGTCAGTTTCAAAATTTCTTGGACGTGCAATACGGCAATATAATGAGAGTTTACTGTATGTATTATCTCATACACACATATTCGTAATGCAAAATATAAAGTAATAGAGATATAAAGTTAAATTTCAAAATAAGTCAATAAACCAATTATAATGTTTATAGTATCATAATTGAAATTTAATTCAATTTGATTGAATTCAAAGATGAAATTTATAACTGCAAAGCTGGGTACAGTAATTAATATTCTTTTCAATGTATATATAAAGTTAAATTTCATACAAAATAAGTAAATAAAACAATTGTAATATGTTTATAGCATAATAATTAAAACCTAATTCAATTTGGTTGAATTCAAAAATTAAATTTACAACTGCAAAGCTGGATACAGTAATTAACATTCTTTTCAATGTAGTATCAAAACTATGCATTAAAACTCAATATTTATTAAAGAATAACTTTTTAAAGAAAAACTGTTTTAAATAAAAAGAAAGATAGTTACGATAATATATTGACGAGTGGGACTTACTGGATGCTGGTAAAGTGTCAATACGTTCATTATCCTTCAATCTATTTGCCGCATGACCTAACGTCTGCAAACTAGTTGAACGACGTATGAAAAATTCATCCCGCACAGTTTCCATCAGACTGCCCGTGGATTTCGATCTTTTCAAAGCAGTAACTTTAAACAGCGATGGTTCATCGTTTCCAACTTCTAAAAATAATTAATCGGTTAAATTTGTTACAATTTTTCAAATTGAATTACTAAATAATTAAGTGGTATACTCGTTGTTGGTAATTCGACTGTCGACGTTTCGATAGTCGAGTTTCTAGTAAATGAATCGTAAGCAGGTCCAAGGAGGCGAAAAGTGGAGGATGTGGGTGATATTCCTCGATATCTTTCCCAATCATATAACTTTCTAGTGAATTCTCGTGAAATACCCTCGAATCGATAGGATCCAACGGATGTTCGAATTAAGACTTCGTTGGTATCGTTTGCATTTTGCGTTCCTTCGATGTACGGCCTTGAACATGAAAATTTTTCATTGTTAATAGGATAATATAATTAAAAAGTACTGTATTGTAAATTTATTTATAAATTTAACGGTAAATTTAATATGTGTTGTACAGTTTACAAATTTAGAAATATAGAAATATAAAACATTTTAATTTATAAACATAAAAATTTTCAACCTTTTCCATTTTTTGATTACTAAATCAAGATTTTTTACTAAATCTAGATTTCTAAATTTTCAAATTTAAAAATTTGGTAAATTGTGAACTTAAGAATTTAGAAATACAGAAATATTGCAATATTTAAAATATTATCCTAATTGGAATTATACGATTTAAGGATTTAAAAATGAACAGGTCTTTTAATTTTATGGAAAGCGTGAAGAATACTGGAAAATAGTGATCCTAATTCGATAGGATTGTACTTCTGTCTGTTAATATACCTTAAATCTCCGTCAAAGCATTCATCTAATCGTCGGGCATCACTTCCTCGTCTTCCTCTACCGATATCACTGTCGAAAAGCGAAACTACCCTCTCCAAGGCTAGAAACTCGCTTTCGTCAATTTCAGACGAAATTCCAAGTCGATTCGACTTCAATTGCGAATGTTTCGCGTCACGATTACTCGAATCGTTCATTTTCTTCCAAATTTCCATTTTTCGCACGAAATCTTCGCCAAGATGCGATTTCACGTCGCCGGTATTCTCTTCGTAACAACCGCGTTCCTTATTTCTGTACTCGGATTTCGAGGGAGATCTCCAAAGCTGCCAATCTGTCAAACGACGACGATTGAGACGTTGTTGCTCGAAAGGAGCGCTTCCTCGTCGATCTTTTTTCGTACGTTTCCAATCTTGAAGCTTTTTTCTGAATTCTGGCGCTAATCTTTCCTCGGACGGCAAGGTTTCCCGTGGAGTCACCAAATTAGAAGAAATCTCTCGCGAATCTTTCGCAACGCGGGGTGACAAGTTCTTTAAACGTTCCCATTCAATTAACTTTCGATGAAATTCAGCTCCTAACTTTTCTCGTAGAGCTCGATAATCTCGACGAGTCTCGGCGGTTAACGGTGTTTTTTGAAGATCCTCTGTGCTGTTGCTGTACCCGTAGGCCAATGATGCTTCCAGTCCTAACAGATACGAAAAATTCAGTTAATCCTTTGTCACAAGTTTTAATTTTGAAAGAATATAAGGTGAAGTGGGGTAAGTTCGTAAACGGGGCAAGTGCGTATCAGGCTATTTTTATTACAATCTGAGCGAAATTTCTCCATTTAGTATGTTTGTTTCCTTGTTGTGTCTTACTATATCCCCTTTTATATTTCAGCTAAGAGTACTTGTTTGCAGTATAGAGTACTTGCATAATGCAGTGAAAAGCATTTTATCGCAGATTTGTTAATAATTCTGCTTTTGCTCCATTGCACATGAAATAAAGTTTCAAAGTATTTAACTTCAAGTTACGCTCTTACTCTATTTTCGGGGAAAGTGCAGAGTAGTTGACATTTTAAACAATTTCCTATCAAAATCAAAATGTACAAGGAAAATTAAGGTCCTAGTTGATATTAATTAAATAGTAGTAATTGTGAAAAGCGTTCGATATCGACAGTGTTAAATATTTACATAGCAGACTGAAAATACTTATGTTTAAATAGCAACTTTACAAAAACCAGTCGGCACTTACCCCGCTTCATCTTATCCAGATGAAAATGCAATATTATCGTAATAACTTGTATTAACTGTTTGAAACAATAGCTCTTATCCCACTTCACCTTATTTTTGAATTCGTAATAATAACAAAAAATGTCACATAAATATTTTCTGCTTCAACGAGAAATTCTTGATTTTGTTTAAAGAAAATATGGTATCGCAAATTTGTAACAATTGGAAGTGCAGCAAGTGTAAACAAGAGTAATCTCAATATGTAAATAAGGATAATTTTAATGTGTAAATGAATATCATTCCGTATGTAATTATAAAAGAGGAGACATATTTTCTATAATTTTATTAATTATGAGATTGGTGACAATTCATTACGTATACGAATTTCACATTTGATAGAATCTTTTTTGCAAATTGCATTGAACGACTTTTGTCAAACAAGCTGAATCTATTATTGGGAATGATAAAATGGTCTACCTAGGTTTCAATGGTAGGAAAATTAATTGTGATCGATTTTTACAATTATTATTTGTTTCGAAGTTGTGTGTTTGAACGGTGATAGAACCATTTTTTTGTGTTGGTAGTAAAAATTAGTAATAAAAACTGCTAATGGTTTAACACAAAACCTATTTAATTTGACTTTAAAAATGACGTTGAAGACACAAATTATTATAAATATTAAATTTTTATCATTTATAGTTTTGAGAAAACTATTTTAATAAATTTTGTAACTAGTAAAAAAAAATTTCTACTAGTCTTATTAGTATGCAAATATAATTATTTGTAAAATAATTATACAAATTATTTTACAAATAATTGTTATTTAGTTGTCTCACAAGACGATTGCTCTGAGAATCACAATTTTTGAATTTTCAAGGTCAACAGAATTTTTATTAAATAACAATACATATTTTTTAATTTGTACTACTTTGATCAAATTTACTATAAACAGTAATATAATTTAATTGTTTATTTTCATAAACAAATATTTAATGCAATTGAATATTACGGAGTTAATAATTATCGAAATTATCGAATTGTATCAATTTCTGAATAGTACAACCTCAAAGGCATCTATCGTTTATAATTATCGTTAATATAATTATTATTTATATACATAATTCTACAAATATTAGATTTGTTATTTAAGTACATTAGTTATTAAAAATATTGTATTTATTTATACACATTCTAAATGCAAGTGTTAATAAAAATGTTATTTATTATGTACATTGTATGTATATTATACATGGTATAATTTAACATAGTACATCGTTCAACAGTATTTAGTTAGTTTAATTAATAAACTGCAACTTATAGTTAGTATAACTACTTTATGCAACTTATTATTAGTTTAACTGTAACTTAAACTTAAACCATTTTTATATATACCTTCCAGTATTTCATTTTTACAGTTTCATAATGTTATTTACCATTTTTTTTTTTATATGCATTTCTCAGTTTAAATATATAGTTTAAGTTTAGTAGTTTTTCAATTAAGTTTAATAGTTTCTCAGTTTAAATATATATGTCTATATATATTTCTCAGTTTAAATCTATGTATTTATCTTCACAGTTTAAAAATAAAAATGTACTGCTATTTATAATCATTTTTATAACTATTTTTTATTGACTGATATGAATTACTTCTAAAGAATTTAAATCTGATTCTGTCAGTGGCAATGACACGCGCTAATCTAATAATCATTGATAACAAGTACGTTATCTTTCAATACATTTCTTTTATCTCAACTTTTATCTTACCTCGTTATTTTCGCTCAATTTTGATAGCTATAAACTAATATGAAAAATGTGAAATAATAAAAATGTAAATTAATGAGCAAATACAAATTTCAATAAAAAAGTTATATATCCATGACGTACCATATTGAATTAAAGAAAAAATAAAAATTTTTAATTTCGAATTCATAAAACGAAACAAAATAAATAATTCCAATGTAGCAATTGAAATAAATGTTTTAAATTTGAAAATTATTAAATGGAACTCATTACTGACGCAATATACAAAACGAATTGTTTCCGTTTATTGGATTCAAAATCAATTTAAATAACTAACATCTTAATTAATCAAATTTTATTTTGACTTCAAATTTTTCATTTGTTATTTCTTTGTGTCCATACGTACTGTAAGTACTACAGTCGTCAAACTTCTTTTGTCGCAGAAGAAATCAATAACTCGATTAATTTTGATTATGTCGCGTATTTGGCATGTTGATTACAAAATTTATTGCTCCTGTAACACGAAAATTTCATGTTGGTATACCAAACGTTTCTCTGCGTAACAGTCTACATAGCAACAACGTATCACACAGAAAGCCGCAAGACATAAAAAAAGCACTGGCATCATCGAAATGTGAAGAATATCGGGATAAACTTGCAAAATGCCCCAAACCTCGTAAACGTCAGAAATGGCAGTTTTTCCAACCTAAACCAAAAGTGGTAAATACGTTTGTAATATTTAACTTATATATGAACCGTTTATTTTGAAAATTAGTCAAGTCCATTTACGAAAGAAATGATAATGATAACAATAGACAAAACTTGATATAATATTTTTATTTGTAAGCGATTTATAAAGAAAATAATTCAAATTCTCTAATATTTGGGTGGGATTTGGCTTATTTGGGGTTTGGTATTGGGAAGATGTTTATTTTGAAAGTGCTGCAAAAACATAGGTTCAAATTATTTTAAGTTCAATGTATTAGGATATTCTAGTTCTTAGTAATAATATTGTGGAAAACTACAAATTATATTGGTGACATTATATTGGGTTGTTGGGAAAGTAATTTCGTTTTTTTTCCCCCTTTTTTTCGAGGAAACGAAAGACGATTTTCTTATAGTGAATAAATATTTCATTTTATTACATATTGCCAATTCTTGTCAAATACACTTTACCATCTTTCTAACAGTAACATAATTCCACGCTCATAAAATTTTTGTTCCTTGCTGGCAAAAAATTGATGCAAGTGAATTTTCACCTCCTCGTTTGAAATGAAGGTTTTACCGTTTAAAAAATTCTGTAGTGATCGGAATAAATAATAATAACCAGTTTTTACACTGTTGTTCTGTTAATACGTCTTCTCTATACACATCTGACAATATTTTTCTTGCTTGAACAACATTTTCACTTTTACGTTAGTAAAAAAGTAAAATATGCCGAAAATGCTGCTTTTATCTTTTCATATTTGATGGGGCACCCACCAAAAACTACTCCGTAGAATCAATGGAAATTTTTCATAAAAAAGCCTTTCTATATCAGTTTTTAAAATGTATAATGATTGCGGCTTAAGTGTGAAGGTAGCTGTAAAAAAAATACAATTAAATCCTCTGTTGCGAAAAGATGAAATTACTTTCCGAACAACCTAATAATTCTGATGACAGTATAATATTGGTGACATAACCTCAATATGAGCGAATATCTGTACGTCTACGTATGTATTATTGCTGATTTCTATCAGACTGCAAGATTTAATTCAATTTCTAATAAATACTTAAAAGTCGACATGGTTGTATTAATATTGGTGTACAAAACTCTTAACACTGTTGCTGTTACTTGAAAATTAATTACAAAATTGTGTATTTATTTCAAAAAATATGTCTCAGAATGATTTCAATGAAAATTATATCTGTGATGCATTTGAAAATGAGGGTGGTAGGTAATATAAAAAGGAAAATAGTTTTCTGGGTAACAATGTTGCTACAATAAAATTCTTATTTGCAAGGAATTTTAATTATATTATGTTTATAGAAATAAGATAATTTAAGGATTTGAAAAATTAAAAATTTGGCGATTTGGAAAATTGAAAAAATTATGCAATTCAGAAATTTGATAATTTCGGAATTTGGAAATTTGGAAATTGGATAATTTAGGATCTTTTAATGGCCATTTGATAATTAAAGGATTTAAAAATTTAAGAATTGAGAGACTTCAAAATTTGAAAGATAATATATGCACAATTTCTGAATTTAGAAATTTCGAAATTTAGAGACTTAAAACATTAAAAATCTGAAAATTTGAAAATACAAACAACTGTCAAGTTGTAAAACTTGCGAAATTTGATAATTCAGAGATTTGAAAATTTGCGAACTTAATAATTCAATGTTTTGAAAATTTGAATATTTAACATACCTTATGTAATAATACAAAATACACCACAGTCTATTAGTGCGTATCAATATTTTCAAATTCATCAAAATGTTTTTAAATATCTCCTAAAAAATAGACCTGTTCTACTTCCAAAATAAACGGCTCCCCTTCATTAGAATCAATAAAATAACAAAAGCGATTTGTAACGTTTAATCTCGTTTAATAAACTCAAAATATTTCGTTCGATAAATTTGAAGTATCTCTATTTCAGTGTAAAGTAGAAAGCGTTGCTGATAATTACAAAAAAGCCCGTCAAGAAATAGCAGACCGTACAAAGTTGATTTTAACTAACTTTCAAGATGAATCGAGATCTGTCCTGGACAAGTTCAAGAAGAACCTAGAAATATCCAAAAATGCCGAAGAGAAGCAGTTAGACGAACTATCTAACGATGTCAAGAAAAAAGTTCAAAAGCTAATAGTTTTGAATCCTCCGTTCGGTTCTTGTAAACGAAAATCCATAATGTTGTTCGAATATCGAAATCGACAGGCTTTCGACGAATTGCAATGCGGCTTTCTGCCGCAAATAAGACGAGTTCAATATATCATCGACAATTCACAGCGCGACATACAGGTAACCCTTGATCGTGCCCGATCCTTAATACTCTCTTGTCGAAAATGTAAAGACCATGAAGCCTTGAAAAAGTGCATCGAGGAGAAGGCAAACTACGCAGAAAAAATATTAGACAAAACGTCGCAGAACATGAAGCTTAATTTAGATAAAATCGACAAAATACAACTGGAAATTTTGGAGTACCATAAAGAGATCATGGCGGAGTTCATGAAAGAGTACCGTAAAAAGAACAAGGAATTATTGGAACATTTGGATAATTGTATTTATAATATAAAAAATAAACGATGAACATTTGTAAAAAGTATTTATTACCGTCTTGAAGGAGCATTTGTCTCGAGACAACTCTGATGAGGTTGGGTGGAACGCTGAGGGTAGAGTTTGTCAAAAATGCGCGCCTGACTTTGTTCCATTTCGAGTTCTGCCTCTGCGTTTTTGGCGTTCGCGTTGTGGAGTCTTCGTTGGTTGATAGCTGTATTAAAAAATAACAAAAAAGATTTATGAATGTATTTTATAAAAAGTTAGTGAAGGAAGAAATTATTTGACAACGCAAATTGAAAATAATGTTATAATTAACCAGTTGAGTGTGTTTGACGATTATATCTGTCATGGAGATGTGACGGAATTTTGTGTCATGACGATTATATCCGTCATACGTAAAATTTTGTTACAATTTGATATTTAAATTGTAATATTGGCGAAAACTAAATTATATTCGTAAATTGTAATATGTTTAAAATGTTTAGAGGTCAACACGAAATGAAATAAACAAATAAAAAGTGTAAATGATTTGAGATGGATTCATAAATTCTTGAGAGCTAACTCGTCATCGCTTGATTATTGCGACACACACTGGTGCGCGCTTTACAAAAAGATTGTTACAGTTAACTGGTTAAATTATCAAATAGCAAAGAAGTCCGTCAACCTGTCGTTTAAAATCTTTATTCATAGAGAATTCTCTATGTATTTTCCTGGGTTGCGGAGAATTTCCACCGGAAGTATGTGCACTGGACGGAAGTGGCGAGCTCGAATCCGGCGAAGACATGCACCTCATTTCCTCTTCGTGCGAAGGTATTGTAATCGTTAGGGTCGGAGTGAATCTTTTCGACGACGAATCTGTATCCCTTTCGTCCATTTTGTTCAAGGAATGCATTGGATGATTCTTCTCGGATGTTACACGTATCAGTGGTTTTCCCTGATAAGCAAATTTTATACGATTTAATGAATCTTTTAATGAATGATAATTTTCATGTGCTGTGATTAAATAAAATTCACACAAATTAATGTTCTATGCATTTTAGTTAGTAAATGATGTTTAAAATAGTCTCACTTTGGATAAATAATTCATAGTGAATGAGTGATAACTATAATGTCTTGTGATTAAATAAATCTTAGGAAACATTAGTGTATTAATTTCAGTTAATAGACGATGAGTAAAATAGTTTTGTCTTGAATAAATATGTAATAGGGAAGTAACTGAAAGATAAATGTATTGCGGTTAAATACATTTCAGGAAAAATTAATACACAATATTAATATACAAACAACAGTTTGCTACCTAAAATACATAAAGTATATTAATCTTTTATATTAATGAATATTAATGTTTGCAATGTTACGGTTATTGTTAAAAAATGTGAATTGTAAAAATTGTAACTTAACGAACAGTAAACGAATAAATAATGAATTAATATTTTATGAGTTTAGGAATTTAGAAGTTACGAAGTTTAGAATTTTTAGATTTGAGAATTTGAAAATCTGAGAATTTAAGAAATTCAGAAATTCAGAAATTTGAGAGTTTGAGAACTGGAAACTTGACAATTTAAGAATTCAAGGAAGTTAGAATTTTAAGAATTTAAAACATGTGGAAATTTGGGGATTTGGGAATTTAGAGATTTGAGAATTTGGGCATTTAAAAATTTAGGAATGTTGGGATTTGAGAATTCAAAAATTTGGGGATTTAGAAATTTAAAGATGTAGGAATTTGGGGATTTGAGGTTTTAGAAATTTAGAGATGTAGGAATTTAATCTAGTAGATTTTAAACTCCTATTTTCTAGTTTCAGTTTTCAATTACAAACGTGTAACTACGTACGTATACAATGTACATTCGTATAGAGTTCGCTGTTATCTACGGATTTCGTTATCCACGGATGACCTCGAAACCATTTCTTCATGGATGCAGTAATCAATTGCTACGAATTATTTATGAATAACCCGACAGCAATCGATAGTAGTTAATCGAAATAATGAAAGCTTGTACTTATAGTACAAATTATTAAATATAACCTGAAGAGTGTAATATTAGTGAATATGCTTTAAATAGTTATCTCATAAATAATTATTTGACGGTTAAGTAATTAGTATGTATAACATAGTCGTACAATAAACATGAAAACATTTCCCAAAAATCACGTTATTTAACAATATTAATTCATTTGAAAATCTTTGTTAGTGAGTTATTACTAGATAAAAACGAATTAACTGCGTAGAAATTATTTAACAACAAAACAAAGCATTCTTTTCAAAGCTTTTTTATGACTTTTGCCATAATTTAATTATTTAGAATATGCAAAAAGGTATTAATTGTTTTAATAATTTCTACTTTTTAATTACCATATTCATAATGTTATGATCTCCGTCATTATTCAAGGTGACGATGTCACCATCAAGAGATTGACTCCTCTGATTAGTACAATCTATCTTTTTATCGGTTTTTAATTTCGAAGATTGACATCCTGAATGATTTGAAATATTTCTCTGTAAATCTGGAAAATAATCATTGTCATAAATTCTTTTATACAATCTCTTTTTTGTAATTAATGTATTCAAAGTTAAATTTTAAGTACAGTGATGTGAAAAGTTATTCAAAATTTCTCTCTATAGTACAAAAAATAAATAAATATATATTAAGTTACTGAGTATCGAAAATATTCAAAAATGAATGACACTTTAGTTATTTTTAATTATTTACTTTAATTGTAAATTACTTCAATTTACTTTAGAAGTACTTTAGTTATTTTTAACTTAATTTAGTTTTTTAAATCTTGAAAAGTAATATTAAATAAATTATAGTCACTCATCAACGAATTGTCAAAAAGTATTTGGAACTCTCTACGGTACAACAAATGAAGAAATAAATAATGTTTTCATTTGTGATGATTTATTTATGAACAATAATGTTGATTATTAAGATTTGATGATATTCTAATATAACTGGAACACTACTTTTTCAAATCTCGAAAAATAATATTCATAAATTATAATTATGCATCAACGAAGCATTAAAAAGTATATTAAAATTTCCCGCCATTATTTAAAACGACGCCATATTGAAGGCTCTGATCTACTGTAATTGCAATCTCCTGACATTCTACATTGTATTATTGCAAAACAATGTAAAATTCATATAAAAAATGTTTTTAATTCTAATAAAATCATAGTAATAGCTACAGGAAGGAATACAGAAATTAATTTTACACGGAGTGTAAAGTTAGCGTCATGAAGTCATAATGCACATGGAAGGCGAAAAAGTGTTCATTGAAGATAAATTATAATTTTCTCATTATCCAAAGAAACAATTTTGTTTATGGTGTTGCAAAGAATCTCAATAAGAATAATAATAATGTCCTTAAATAAGAATACATATAATACTTGATAATTAATAAAATTACATGAATAACCCCATTACCGAAATATCGTTTAATTCTCTATCTACCGTAAAATAAAAAATATTCTCAAAACTGTTCACTGTATTATGCGCAATATAAATTATGTTGACACAATTGAACTATATTTAAATAACTTTTACAATTTTACAATTTACATGAAATGTATTCCATATTGTGTACATATTACATAGATGGATAACTTAATTATAATCACAGTTATTTAACAGAATTATTCATAAATACTCGTAAATTTATAAATAATCTCGTAAGAAACTTCACAACAAGATATTGTTCTATAAAATAACTATAAAATAAAAAATATCTCAAAAGCTTTTTCACATTAGTAGAAAATTATACGGAATGACCTAAAATTCTCCAGGCACTCTGTGCTAGTATGTATGTTCTATAAATAGGAACAAGAGAAAAACGTTGTGTAAACATAGGTCAATAAATGCTTCCATAAAAAATGTTATAAAAAGAATACGAAAAAAATAACTGATTTCCCCTTGGTATAGTGTAACATTAGAATGAATCATTGATATTTATCTACACTATTTATATCGGTTAGATTTATCGCGGAAGATGATCTACATAGTTTTCATTAGCGCTAGTAACTATCATTTTGTTGTACAATTTCCTACCGACATGCCGCGATTATTTTCGGACTAGGAATACACAAACATTTCCGTTATCTATCGTCTTTGTTCTGGAAACTGTGAAACTGTTGTACAACAATAACAACGGAGATTTCCTAACAGGAAAATACAACATCGTGTATACAGGCCGCCTACACCTTTTAATCTCCGAAAATATTAGTGATTTAACGTTTTCGAATGGTTTGGAAATCGAAATTTTTACATGGGAAGGGTTAAAATAACTAATCGATTAATTGTGCTGGAAGCTATGATTCTTAAATCTAATGATTCTTCCTAACGATTTTTATTATTTGATAAAAACGGTGGAGTAAATTCTTGTGGAGTGTGGAGTTAAGAGATTTCTGAATTTGAAGATTTAGAAATTTAGGGAAAATTTCAATTCCCAAATATAATATAACAATTTAGAAACTTGGAAATTTGAAGACTTTGACAAAGATAAAATATATAATTATAATTTGTAATTTAGAAAAGGGATTTGGGGATCTGGAAATATTCAAATCTGAAAATTTAGAAATATGCATTTTATAATTTATTTGTTTGAAGCTTTGTAGATTTGAAGATTTAAAAATATAGAAATTTGAGAATCTGAGAATTTGAGAGCTTGAGATTTTGAAAATCTGAGAATCTAAGAAATTTGGAAATTTGAGAATTTGAGAGCTTGAAAATTTGAGAATTTGAGAATTTGAGAATTTGAGAATTTGAGAATTTGAGAATTTGAGAATCTGAGAATCTGAGAAATTTGGAAATTTGAGAATTTGAGAATTTGAGAGCTTGAAAATTTGAGAATTTGAGAATTTGAGAATTTGAAAATCTGAGAATCTGAGACATTTGAAAATTTGAGAATTTGGAAATTTGAGAATTTGAGAAATTAAGAAATTGAAAAATTGAGAATTTAAGTATTTGATAATTTGTATCCTTGAAGCTTTGGAAACTTGAAAGTGTAGAAATTTAGAAATGTTTAGACATGAAAATTCGAATATTTGAAAATTTAAAAGTGTACAAATCTGAGAGTATGGGCATTCATAGATGTTCAATAACCTTGCAATTTTATAATTATTAATTTCACATTGAAATTTGATAATTTGATGATTTGGAAATTTAGAGATTACAAAGTTTTGTGATTTCACAATATGGAAGCTTGAAAATTTAGACGCCTGAAAATTCGTCAATTTAAGAATAGATAATTTTGAATTTAGACATTCTATTCGGAAACTGAAAATATCTGTTTGTTAATTTGAAAATATATAAATTAAAAAATTTGATAGAATCATAAAATACAATTATTTTCTAGTTTGACGAAAATTACCATTACCTAACCTAACCATACATTTTTATAAAAACTTCTTAATAATTTTTGTAATTAAATAAGCAATCTAAGATGCCTCATTTTAATGCATAAATTTAGTGTTAATAAAATTGAAGATACAAATGATCAAAAGTTCCCCAATTTTTTCAAACACTGATTTTTTAACGTAACATCGTAATGTAACACTATCATAAACATAGTCAAGTTATTATTATTTAAAAAGAGATATATGTTTTGCCCAAATTTCACCATTATACTTTAAATTGATTTTCCAGTTATTTTTATATACAAAATTTCAATTATTAGTTATTAACTATCGTAATTTAATTTTTTCATTTAGCTAAAACGCAACTATTTTCCTCTAGGACAAAAACAAAAACCACTTTTTGTATTTTCTTTTACTATTATAACATTGAAAGTTATAATTCCGAATTTTTAAAAGATATCAATGAATGAAGATGCGAATTAATCTTCAGCTTTAAAAAGGGTGCAATAAAATGTAAATAACTAGATTTTTTACTTGAAACAAAAAATGTACCTCTGTTATAACGTTATTACTGTGACTAAAATTATAATTCTATAATTATTTAACAATTATTTATTAACATCAGAAATGGAATGCCTATAAAAGTTCCAGCTGGAGATCTTTAAAAACATAACAGTATTATATATTCTACTGCTTCAAATATAATAATTACTATAGAACATAACAATCCTCTAGTGTTTTTATCAATGTACATCAAAACCCATTATTAACATCAGAAGTGGAATGCCTATAAAAGTTTCAACTGGAGTTCAAAGACATTACAGTATTATGAATACTACTGCTTCAAACATGGTTACTATAAAACATAATAATTCTCTCCTCTCGTGTTTTTATGCATATCAAAACCCATTATTAGTAAACGAAAATAAATAAAAGTATATCGTACAATCGTAAGATCCTTCGTTGGATGAGGACGCAGATGAAGTTCTACCAAAAGGCGTTCCTATATCACTAGCCTCATTAGTACATGGTGAAACAGGGGTACTATTCGATTCAGCAACGTCAGTATCCAAATTTCTATGATACTTCGCCGAAGTTGACAATGAGCCTGTCATAGTTGTATCCATCCCTTCCACGATGTCATTAGTACAAGCTCTTTCCCACTTGAATGCAGCTTTCACCCTGGTCCACTTCGAAACCTTCGGTGCGCTTCCAGCGATTTCATCCACCGATGTCTGTTTTTCGACATCGAATTTACTCCTGGCTTGCCTGGAGGTCGATCGCGTGTATCGTCTCTGAAACAGAGGATCCCTGCAATTTGACAGCATGGCGTCCAACAGCGATTCCGCGAAGCCCGTGTCTTCGTCGCAAATGTCATTAATCGTGTCCTTATCGCGTGCAAAGACGTTTTCCAATCTGCGATCCGCATTGCGAAGCACCTTCATCTTCTCCAGGTTTCGGACCCGCTTGAAAAACTTCGAACTGCGACTTCTGAGCTCCAGAATCTGTTCCGTGAAAGCGTAAAGGCGGTCCAGATGTTCGAACGCGTCATCCATGCAAAGATTCGAGATGGCCATAGTGGAGGTCGCGGAATTCCTCGAGGGACATTCCGAAGTTTGACTTTCGTGAGGTGGCATACCAAAGTCCGTCAGATACGCGATTATATCGTCGTCCTCTTCGAGGCTGCGAGGCTGCGTTGCTTCGGCCTGGTTTCGCGTATTCTGCACGCACCAAGGGCTCACCCATGGATCTGGCGGAGGCGCAGGTAACTGGCTCTCCTCCACTTTGTCTTTCAGTTTGGGTGCCACCCTTTGTTCGCGATTGCGACTCGAGCACGATCGATCGAACTTTTTCTCGATCCTCTGATGATCATCGACATTGTCAGCCATTTAGTCGCAAACTGGTTTCACATGTACGTTTAACACCTCCCGTCTCGTTAATCGTAATATTTTAAGTATGTCGTATTAATCTAAATTTAGAAGAACTCACCACGGAAATCACGGACGTAGTTGCAATTACCACCGCGTTAACATTCCACCATTAGACACAAGATTTTTTTAACTCGAGAGACTGTCACATGACAGCTTCTTTCCATTGAAAAACAGCAAAGTGTATTTGTATCGAAGAAATAAGATAGCACTGACTAATGCCCTGTACCGTTGAGTCCCGTTCAATTCACTTTGTAGTCATTCACTTTGCACCAATTTACGCGTACGATCGGTTAGAATTTTTTATTTACGATTACGTATATTTGGACGGAGTATCGATAGATCTTACATGGAGTACTTCGAAGGCCCTCGCTGGGAATGCATTTTTTACGTTTGGCGGCGTCAAGAGAGTCGCGGAAGAAACGGTCTGAAATCGCAGCACCGTCGTCGCGTGATTATTTTCGGTAGCAAGCATTCGGCATTCGTATTTACAACGAACACAAGGGCGTTATTCGTGAGATGAGGCGTTCCACCACGCTCGAAGAGCATGCGCGAGCGTACTCACGACGATCGAGTGGAAGAGGATGATCTTCCTGTTCTCGTCGAAAATAGACGGACGAGAAGACTTTAGGCTACCCTCTTAAATGGCCGATACGTCTGCCGAATGCTAAATGTTGATACCGTTATCTTTCACCAACGAATTTTTATCAAAAATAATTATTTTTCAAAGTTTTAGCGCTGAATGCGCTCAACTATACGTCGAACCAAAACTTTGTTTCGGTTAACTAATTGTGTTTTAAACTGTATATGTTATATGTATACAAGCATTAATTTTTAGGAATATTTATCAGATTATTTTGAGATCAGTATAAGATGATCTAATTCTAGATTTTTAGATTATCTTATTTTTAAACCTTCATATTCCAAAGTCCTAAATTTTCAAATTCCACAAATTTTAAGTAACAAAATCTTCAAATTCGAAATTTTCAAATCTTCAAGTTCTTAAATTCTCAAGTTTGCAAATCTTCAAGTTTACAAATTCTCAAATTCCCAAAACTACAAGAACTCAAATGTTCAACTACTAAATTTATAAATATTTTTTAGAATTCCAAAATTTTTCTTATAACAATTATGATGTCTGATTTTTATCATTACTATCGAAACTGTTACTTGTTTAATTGAAGCAAATATTGTAGAGTCTCTCTCAAAGAAACTCCCTAGATTTATTACTTGACACAAACCTTTATTGTTTGACACACTTGTACATATGCACATATATCACGGTAATAAAAAAATATATAGTCATTATTTGCAATAAATAAATAAGTATTCCTCTGCAATATATTTTTCTTCTTGCAACACACAATATTTGTATACACAATATATTTTTGTATATATAAATTACTTTAAAATAACAATCTATCCATTCCATTTCAGCCACGTTAACATTTTATCGCAGTCTTTGCACATTGATATTTTGCATTTTATGAATTTTTTATCAAGTATTTTTCAGAAGCCCCATAGCGTTCAGCGTCAATGTAAATTCGCCCCAGTGAACAATGAAATTGTTTCGATTTAAGAGTACCAACTTTTTACTTCTACTTTTGCTTCCTTTACGTTGATTCAAATAGTTGTGACTAAAATAACTGTAGTCTATGTGAGTCTGGTATGACTTTTCATTGATGAAGTTTACTCACTGACGCATGATGTTAACACTTGAACTACTGTGCAAATCACAAGAATTCTTCTTACTCGTTACAATTCTGCCATGGTTTTCTTAAGTTTGACGTCATTTCGTTCTTTCATTTTACTTTTTTTTAGGCTAGTGCCGATGTTTATTGTAATAGATCCAGAAAGCTGTTCAATATTTTTGGACAAAAGAATAATATTTAATGAGGAAAATAAAATAAACATATGGAAAAAATAAATGTTAAGAGAAAGAAGACTAGAGAAGTAAATATTAAAATATTTAAATACGATTGAATTCTTTTCCGTCATTTTTTACTTTTTTTATTTTCAACCCTGGTTGTGGCAGAAAAAATAAAATTTCTTGAATAGAGAGTAAAACAGTGATGGGCACAACCAGTGTTCGATAACGAGTTCGCGGGCATCAGTGTTTCAGAATTTAGAAATTTGGGAAAGGGAAGTTGCGAAATGTGAGCAATGTGCAAATTTTGAAAGTTGGGAACTTCTGATGTCAAAGACTTGTAAATTTGAAAATTTGAGAAACTGAGAAGAGTAGAATTTTAGAATTTGGGAATATAGGAATTAGAGAATTTGGGATTTTAGAAATTTGAGAATTTTGGAATTTCGGAATTAGGGACTCTGGGAAATTGGGATTTTGGGAAATTGAGATTTTGGGAAATTGGGATTTTCGGAAATTGGGATCTTGGGAAATTTGAATCTTGGGAAATTGGGAATTTGGAAAATTGTGATCTTGGGAAATTAGGAAATTAAGAAATTGGGAAATTGGGGTTTTTGTAAATTGAGAATTTGAGAATTTGAGAATTTGAGAATTTGGGAACTTGGGAACATGGAAATTTGGGAATTTGGGATCTTGGGAAATTGGGAAATTGGGAACTTAGGAAGTTGGGATCTTGGGAAATTGGTAACTTGGGAAATTAGGATTTTGAGAAATTGGGAAATTGGAAAATTGGGAATTTGAGAATTTAGGAATTTTAGAAATTTGAGATTTAAAAAATTAGATTTAAATTAAATTTAATATTTAAAAAACTACAAATTTTATTAATTTAGAGTTTGAAAATTTGGAAATCACAAAATTAGAAAATTTAATTAATTATAAAAATTGAAGACTTAGAAAATTGAAACATTTGCAAGCGTTATTTGAAAAGTTAGAGCTGTAAGAAATTTGAAATTGTTTGAATTTGGTGTATGCAAATTTGGGAATTTTAAATTTAAAATATTCTGGTCATTTATACGTTTGAAAAAATAGAAATTTGTATCTCTCAAAAACTTGGGAATTTGAACATTTGAAAGTTTGGTATAGGCTACATGGAACAAAAAATAGTAATTTTATTTACAAATTTGGCGCTCATTTACAAATTCTTATATTACGAACTATTGGACGGAAAAATATTATATTAAAAATAAAAAATAAGATTGTTTTATTATTATAAAACATACATATTTTTAAATACGAAATTAAAACTGAATGCAGAATCTTAAGACGTTACAGTAATTCGGAGCGTTCCAAACTTTTCATCCAACGTCTGAGTTACTTCCGGTCGCTGGCGGCAAATAACACACTCAGTTAACCAGCCATTTACATATTGTAATCAACAAAAATACTTATAAATTTAAATTATGTCATGCAATCTTTTCATTCCATAAAAACAATAAAATTAACTCTTTGCACTTAAAAGTATTTTTTCGTTCGAAAAAAACAATTCTGAAACTTTTTAGAGAAGTATGAAAAATTTGATGAATTCTTTCGAAGTTATTATTTTTTTATTTATATTTAATTATATTACTGCTGTTATTGAACCTTAAAATTTAATCATTAAATTGAAACAAATACAGTCCAGTACATGTCTTAAATAAAATGTAGAATAGAATTGAGAGTTTAAATAAAAAAGTTGGTATCCGTTTCAATAGATTTATACTAGGATATCAGTGCAGAGATACTTATTATTTGCCAAAGTCATTTAAGATTATGACAGGGTCATCATAGAGTCTAAATAGAATTAATTTTTGGAACTTTACACAATTTCTCAACAGTAAATAATCGTAACATCACAAAAACATAAAAGTAATGAATAAGCAAACATTGGCATTCTTAAATATATATTTTCATTTCCATTTTCCCCTTTTTCCTCTTTTTAAGGACGCTGTATAGGGCCGGAGGTTTCACACCCCTTGCACCTCTACTGTGGTCGGCCCTGGATTATGGAAGAAAACGTAAACAAGCTATTCCTGCATCGGTAACCGGGTTAGATCAGGCATTCGTGATCCAACAACGGCCACACCTGTAATCGTTAAATTAATTCAAATGAATCGATGAAATTAGAGCTAAGGGACTTCATTTACTCACTTAACAACATCCCCGACACGAAAAAGATACTGTGAAAACAGTGTACATGTAAAAATAGTTTCGTTAAACAGCCGATCAAGTATGGAAGTACTCTTGAAAGTCCAATAATTGTACCTCTAAAAATAAACGTAATTTGAGAAAAAATGTAACTTTACAAAGTGATGGTGGGAAAAAGAAATGTGTTAACGTTGTAAGAAAAATGACGAACCTTATACCTGTAAAATAATTTTCCAGTATTAATATCGTAATTGATGTATCACAAATGGCATACGTTGCTAATATAATCATTGAAAGGGCTACTCGTGTTACACTCTGTATTGTAAACACTAAAGCAAGACATGCTGCAGCTCCTATTAATCCCGAAAACACTGAAAGTATGGTAAAATCAATATATTACGATTTTATCAATTTAAATACTTAACAACACAATATTATAATACTTACAATAAAGTGAAGTGGGATAAGTGCAGACTGGTTTTTGTAAAGTTGGTATTTAAACATAAGTATTTTCAGTCTGCTATGTAAATTCTTAACACTGCCGATATCGAACGCTTTACACAATTACTACTATTTAATTAATATTAACTAGGACCTTAATTTTCCTTGTACATTTTGATTTTGATAGGAAATTGTTTAAAATAAATTATTATT